ATGCTTAGTGTGAGGGATTGCTGAAGAGTCAATGAGTCGATGCAATCAACTGGTTTTCCTTAGATAGAAAACTTTGAATCAATTTGACTGGATGATCTTGCTGAACTATAAAGTGCCTTGAGATGACATGTGCTGTGAATTGGCGCTATATAAATAAACTGAATTGAATTTAAATGAATTGTTACTTCATTTATGTTCTCTATTTCATCCCTTAGACATGAAAGTAGCTTATAGTTAATCTGCTTAACTGTTTCTATCATAGACAGAGCCACCTGGGGAGATAGTTTACTGTTACATTTTCCAACATTAAAAGTATTTTGGGATCAGTTCTTCTATGTTCCCAGTTAGCCTCGGCAGAAGGCCGTCCACTCCGAGCCTGGTTTTTCTGGAGGTTCCTGCTAAAAGGGCGCTTTTTTTCTCCCCACTGTCGCTGCTTTCTCTGTATGAGGGATCCCTGTAGAGTCAAAAACACAATGCATGTGAATATCTACCAAAATTGGGTACTTACGCCCTGCAATGGACTGGCGACCTTTCCAGGGTGTACCCCGCCTCTCGCTCGTAGACAATTTGGGGCACAGACAACCTTTCTCCAATAAATCTTAAAAACTAATTGTTAAAAGTTCATGAATTCTGTATTCATCTTCTTTGTTTGTGGTATGTAAATGTAGTTCCTTTATTGCCCCAAAATGGGGAAATTCACTCACTGCATTTAACCCATCCCCTTGGTGAGCAGTGGACTGCCACTGTGTGGCGCCGGGGGAGCACTGTTGGGTTAAGGGTCTTGCTCAAGAACCCAGAGTGGAGGCTGTGGGGATCGAATCAGGTAGATAAATGGTGCATTTACCTGCTGTGAAAACTTAATTCTTTTAATGTATCCAAACCATTTTATGACTTTTATTGTTCATTTATTGAAAGTCTTTCAAGTCTCTTACCTTCAGCCTTTTATAGCAGCCATGGATGTCAAACTCAAGTCTTCGTGGGCGGGATCCTGTGACCTTTAGATATGTCCCTGATCCAACGCACTAGAGCCAAGTGTCTTAATTAACCCCTCAGCATACAGTCAAGTTCTGCAAAGTTCTACCAAGGAGCTGATTATTTGATTTAGGTGTGTAGAAGAAGATACATATCTAAAAGGCGCAGGATACCTGCCCTTGATCACTGGAGTTTGAAATCTGTATTCTCCAGCCTCTAAACCAGAAAGCCTTCATATACACAAGACCTTTGAAGGATACGCAGCTACTTGGATGATCAGTGAAGAAAGCACTAGCCTTTGAAGCTAATTTGGTCTATATTTAAATTCTCCAAAACAAACCTTAGTTGTTATACAAACATACTGAAACTTTGACATTACTGCATCGTTATTCTCAGTTATTGGTTTATAGTTTTCTTTCTCTTTTGTCCTTTTTGCAAGTTTTTTAATTAACTCGTTATTTTTTTACTGTTTATGTTTGCAGTGATTTCAGTAAAAAAATAAAAACTATATTTTTGTTGCAATCACTGAGTCTGGGAGCGGCCATTTTTGCTCAAATACAGTAACACCTCCCTCCTGCCATCTTCCGGCAGTGACGTCACGGTGCGGTAAGCCT